CCCCCCCCCCGCGGCCAGGGAGCCGGGGTCACCGGGACCAGGAGCAGGGCGAGAGGCTGGGGCTGGCATTCACAGAGCTCTCCCAGCCGCAGCCCAGTCACACTTTCGCTGCCCGCTTTCCTGCAGCCTGCTGTTCCAGGGATGCCTGGCCCCTCAAAAGGGGCTTTGAGGCGCCAGGCGGCCAGGCTCAAAGGGACCCCCAAGTGCTGCCAGGGTCGAGCGGGCCAGCCCAGTGCAGCACTGGTGCCCAGAGAGACTCACACCCGGGGCCAGGGTGAGCTACGTCTGTGGAACTCACTCTCTAGTACACCAGCATTGCGTGTCTACACTGCTCCGTCAGCACAACCGCTGGGCAGCCGTGCCCTGGGGCTGGCCTCTGCCCCCACGCTCCCTGCCCGGAACAGCCTCGTCCGGGGGTGGGGAACCTCCGGGCCTGGGGCCAAATTCGGCCCCTGCCTCACCTGGATCCGGCCCCCGAGAAGGATGCAGGCTCTGGCTCTCCAGCCCAGCCAGCTCCCTCCCTCCTGCCCAGACCCTCCACCTCCAGCCTGGTCCTGCACCCTCCCAGACCCACCAACCCTCAACACGCTCCTGCACCCCCCAACCCACTTCCCGGCAGCCTCCTGCCACACACGGAGCCCTGCATTTCTGACACTACCCCACAGCCTGGGGGGGGCCCACACAATCTACTAGCCCGGCCCCCCCAGGCTCTGGTGCGGCAGGGGAACATGGGGAGGGTCCTTCTCCTCAGTTGGGGGCCACGTCAGGGAGGTGGTTTGGTTTGTGGTTTGAGGGTTTTTTTCTCACTTTTGTGCAGACCCCGACTAATTTTTCGGTGGGACAACGTCCCTTCCGCAGAGCGGTGTATAACCGCAGCGCCCTGCCCTGCCGCCTGTCCCGTCCCCGCAGAGCGGTGTATAACCGCAGCGCCCTGCCCTGCCGCCTGTCCCGTCCCCGCAGAGCGGTGTATAACCGCAGCGCCCTGCCCTGCCGCCTGTCCCGTCCCCGCAGAGCGGTGTATAACCGCAGCGCCCTGCCCTGCCGCCTGTCCCGTCCCCGCAGAGCGGTGTATAACCGCAGCGCCCTGCCCTGCCGCCTGTCCCGTCCCCGCAGAGCGGTGTATAACCGCAGCGCCCTGCCCTGCCGCCTGTCCCGTCCCCGCAGAGCGGTGTATAACCGCAGCGCCCTGCCCTGCCGCCTGTCCCGTCCCCGCAGAGCGGTGTATAACCGCAGCGCCCTGCCCTGCCGCCTGTCCCGTCCCCGCAGAGCGGTGTATAACCGCAGCGCCCTGCCCTGCCGCCTGTCCCGTCCCCGCAGAGCGGTGTATAACCGCAGCGCCCTGCCCTGCCGCCTGTCCCGTCCCCGCAGAGCGGTGTATAACCGCAGCGCCCTGCCCTGCCGCCTGTCCCGTCCCCGCAGAGCGGTGTATAACCGCAGCGCCCTGCCCTGCCGCCTGTCCCGTCCCCGCAGAGCGGTGTATAACCGCAGCGCCCTGCCCTGCCGCCTGTCCCGTCCCCGCAGAGCGGTGTATAACCGCAGCGCCCTGCCCTGCCGCCTGTCCCGTCCCCGCAGAGCGGTGTATAACCGCAGCGCCCTGCCCTGCCGCCTGTCCCGTCCCCGCAGAGCGGTGTATAACCGCAGCGCCCTGCCCTGCCGCCTGTCCCGTCCCCGCAGAGCGGTGTATAACCGCAGCGCCCTGCCCTGCCGCCTGTCCCGTCCCCGCAGAGCGGTGTATAACCGCAGCGCCCTGCCCTGCCGCCTGTCCCGTCCCCGCAGAGCGGTGTATAACCGCAGCGCCCTGCCCTGCCGCCTGTCCCGTCCCCGCAGAGCGGTGTATAACCGCAGCGCCCTGCCCTGCCGCCTGTCCCGTCCCCGCAGAGCGGTGTATAACCGCAGCGCCCTGCCCTGCCGCCTGTCCCGTCCCCGCAGAGCGGTGTATAACCGCAGCGCCCTGCCCTGCCGCCTGTCCCGTCCCCGCAGAGCGGTGTATAACCGCAGCGCCCTGCCCTGCCGCCTGTCCCGTCCCCGCAGAGCGGTGTATAACCGCAGCGCCCTGCCCTGCCGCCTGTCCCGTCCCCGCAGAGCGGTGTATAACCGCAGCGCCCTGCCCTGCCGCCTGTCCCGTCCCCGCAGAGCGGTGTATAACCGCAGCGCCCTGCCCTGCCGCCTGTCCCGTCCCCGCAGAGCGGTGTATAACCGCAGCGCCCTGCCCTGCCGCCTGTCCCGTCCCCGCAGAGCGGTGTATAACCGCAGCGCCCTGCCCTGCCGCCTGTCCCGTCCCCGCAGAGCGGTGTATAACCGCAGCGCCCTGCCCTGCCGCCTGTCCCGTCCCCGCAGAGCGGTGTATAACCGCAGCGCCCTGCCCTGCCGCCTGTCCCGTCCCCGCAGAGCGGTGTATAACCGCAGCGCCCTGCCTGTCCTGTCCTGTCCCGTCCCCGCAGAGTGGTGTATAACCGCAGCACCGGCAGAGTGTCCAACGCCCCTGGGGTGCAGATCCGTGTGCCCGGCTTTGGCAAGACCTACTCCGTGGAGTACCTGGACAAGAGCAAGCTGGCAGGTGAGGCCGCAGGGCCAGGCGGGGCTCCCCAGGGTGCTGGTGCTCAGCGGTAGGGAAGGGTCCCGGCCTCCCGGCTTGGCAGGGCTCTCGGGCCCAGTCACCGCG